AAAAAAAAAGTAGTGATCTCTTTCAACCTCTTTTGAGCTAAGAGGCACACAAGAAATTAGGGGAATAGACCCAAACTTATCTGAGCACATGTAGGAAACACAAGAAATTAGGAGGATACACCCAAACATAGCTCCAGTATCCTGTTGCCACAGAAGAATGTTTCTCATACACATCTAAACCTTTTTTTTTTTTTTGGCATGCTTTGGGTCTGATCCAAAAGTCTGACACAGCTACTAGAAATGGTTATTGGATTAAATTCTTAGACAGCACAGAAAATAGCAGGCTAAAGAATCTTAGCAGACTTTCCAAGAGTATTCATTCATCTCTGGCTTGGGAAAAGATTGTGAAGTGTTAGACTGAAAGAGAATTTTGCCAAAAAAGTCTGGGTTTGCACCACAAGAACAGCTGCCTATAATAGTATTGCCCAGAAAGGTATTGAACAAGTGCTAGAACCAAAAAAAAAAGAGACACATAAACAAAACAATAAACCAAAATTGCCTAGTGCCCTCTAAGTAAGTTTCTTCATCGTGTGTAACAAAGCAACAACTCAGAGGAACTTCTGAAAGACATAAATGTCAACCCAGCACCCTGCTCAGGCTGACCTTTATAAAAGAGTTTCTCATTTTTACATTTTCCTATTTCTATAGCAATTGAGAATTCCTTTGAAAACCTCCTCCTGGAGACTGCTGGAGAAGCACTAGCCCTGGGAAAATAACAAGATTACCCAATAACCCAGCTACTCATGAATTTCCAAATCTGCCCTGTTACTTGTGAGCTCTGCTAGTGGTTTGGGCAGGGAAAAAGGAAGCCTCCCCAGTCTTTCTCGTCCACCCCTGCAGCTGTCCCAGCCTCCACATCTGCCAGGCAGCTCCGCACGGCTGAGCAGTCACACCCCAGGAAGAATTTGCTCCAGTGAGTCCTGTTTCTCCACAATTGCTGGCAAAGGGGGAAACAATGACAGCTTTCAAAATTCCCATGGCAACAGCTCCTTCTCTCTGCAACCTCCACTGGCAGCCCGAGCACCGCACAAAGCAGCAGCACACGGGGGATTTGCAGCCAGGTAGCAACTGCTTCTATTTCATCAAAAATTCACAAGCACAAACCACTGGCCACAGCTGGACAGCGACACTGAACTCAGGCACCTAATTGTTGCTCCAGTATGGATCCTTCTGTGTTCCTATTTTGTAATAATGGGCTTACCTAAAATGTTGGAAAATATCTTTTTAAGGTCAATGGAAGACCTTTAAAAGCCCTCCAAATAGAGCTAAGGTCATGGCTACTTGTGGTCATTGACATTACAGCAATTTTTGTAAGCACCGAAGTATTAATCCCAGGAGCCCAACAATTTCAATTTTAGTAATGACATACTAAATGCCTAAAACTTTTAGTGAAGTTTAATATTCTTCACTCCATGTACTGCTCTGTTCTGTGCTGTTCTTAAGCATTGTTAAATGGTTCTTTCATTTCACTGTGGAATTGGCTGACCACATTTCAGCTCTGCATGGAGTGAACTCTGTATATTGTAACATAATTACTCTCAGGGGATCCTAGGTAGTTGGAAAATTTTCTTATTTGATTTTAGATTTTTTTTTTCTTTAAAGCAGCTACATTTTGCAAAAATAGCCAATTATTTCTCTCCCTGGAATGAATAAAATAAAAAAAAATAATTACACCATACCATGATTAATTGAATTTTAAAATGGAAAAGGTCCACTATAAAAACACCTGCTGTATCAGCAATGATGTTACTTGGGTTGAATAAATAATGTTTAAACAAACTTGATGAAGATTACAACAAATACTTATTTATTTCATGCAGAGTTGAATGCCAGTGTCCTGACATTTATATTAAGAGCATATATGCAGTGTAATTCATAATCACCAGGTATAGTTTTACAGAATTACTGATATGAATCAAAGTCCATGATTAAGTGACTCCAAAAACTGAGCTCTGGAACTGATTCCCTATAAGTAGGATCTGAACCAAAACCTGTAGAAATTTTTATTTCAAATTTAAATGCTTCTGATGGGTAGCAAGAAATGTTTCCTCTGGGACATGTATTTGGCTGAAAAAAGGTGTCCTCAGCACAGTTAACAGCATCAGCATGGGCATCTAATCTCTATATCATGCTAAATATTTTCTTCTTTGAAGTGATAAAAATCCAACTGTCAAGTACTGCTTGATCTGACCCAGTGCCTGGGGAAAGCTAATCAAAAGTAAGCCTTATAGGTTCCCCCTACTTAAATCCACCCACCCAAATAAGCACAAGTTAGAATTTTTTATGAGGTAAAAGAGACTCTGCTGTCACAGCCCAATGTTAATTGGCACAAAGGTTTGAGAATACCTTCGTTTTACTGAGCTGCTTTGATTTCAAGACTTCTGAGCTGAATTTTCTTGCTTCTTTATAATCCTGTCTTAACTATCACTGAGTTTGAAGTGAGAAAGGAGCTTAGACAGATCTATATCAGTGTTCATTCATGCCAGACTGTTGCATTTTCATCTGAAACATGGCTTGAAAAAAATTCCAATTTAGGGCAGGAGTAACAGGGGGAATGCTAATCCCCCATTCAGCTCTTGTGGGAGCCACAGGTGATAATTAGTAATTGGCCATCATGTCAATGGCCTCTAATTTTCTTCTCTGACTGGAAAAAAACCCATACAAATAATTCTTGCCCCTTTCCCCTCCATCTTTGGGTTTGTACAGCTGATGCAATGATTTAGACAGTGACCTGAGGACTTTGCAGGAGCATCTTCCAGGACAATAACATCCCAGCTGCTGTGGGAAGTAGGCACATTCAAAATTCAGCAGAGAAATAAACCTTCAGACAGTAAAAGAAGATGCAGCTTGGGTTCAATTCCATCCTCCAGTTTTACTCCACATCAGTTCAAAGGCCTGGATGTCCTCCATTTTCACCAGTGAAAACATTATCATCATCAAGACAGTAGAATGGAAGCCACCATGGGGCTCCACCTCTACTGAAAAAGAAAACCCAAGATGTAGGAACACACAAACCCCCAAATTAATATTGCACTACAGGAGGAAATCCTAGTGAAAACCAACACCTGATTTGCAGATTACCTGGAAAACTCTCAGAGATAGACAAAGCAGCTTACTTCACATGGAGCACTCAGTTTCAAGGGTTATCTTGTTTTTCTCTTCTGCATTTGCAGTCTCATAGAGACATTCTATGTTAAAAATCCCTCTGCAATTAAAAACAAGCTAATGACACTTCACCCGATCCTCACACCTATGACTAATCACTGCAAGATTGAAACCATCTCCAGGACTAAGAATAGTATTTCTAATTTTCATAAAATTAATTCCAGTGGGATTTATATATTATTTTTTTAAAACTTGAAGTATTTGATGAAAGGAGTTTAGGGGTTCACACTTCCTACCATTTACTGTCTAGCTTTCAGTTAGTCCCATGTTTTATTTATGTGCTGAAAGGGATAGATTTTCTTCCTCCTTATTTTATAGAACTGCCTTTGCTGACAAATAATAAAAGATCCCCATTCTGCTGGCCTTGCTTATCAAATTAGAACCAAGTGTAATAAAATGGCTGTTTGACAAAGATTTTAACAAGGTATCCAAACACAGTCATTTTCATAATCTTATAATCCACTAATATGTTTCTCCCAATATTTTATCCAAAACTTATTTAAGCCATAAAGCCTTGCAGAGATCACCCAGATTTTACAACCTGCAATACCCAAACTTGAGTATTTTTTCCCTTTTTTCTTTGTAAATATACGTGCAGCTTGCAGTGCCTAGTAAATATTATGTCTTGTCACAGATAACCAGCCATTCAACTAATTGAAGATTTCTATTAAGATTTCTCCCAAATTCCACCTTCCAGTAGCATTGTTT